TACCACCATCCAATGGAACATGCCGCCTAGCCACCTATTGCTAGGAAGTCTTTCGATATATGGAACCTCAATACACAAAAGTTCACCAACAATCGTCCTCTTCAATACTCAGTCAAGTCGAACCTTGGAGCTTCATTGGAAAGCCTCAACCGCTACCACCATTATATAGCCCGACAATCATATTTCAAAAGAACTATCATACTCCATCATAAGGAGTATACCCATAGCACACACCTTGCGTAATGCTAACCAATACCTGTGTCACACCCTTGCATCCAAGCCAATGCCCATGTCACACCTTGCATCTCTACCAATGTCCGTGTTACACCTTGCATCAAAGCCATGCCCATGTTACACCCTGCATTAAAGTCGGCCATCGCCTCTGTGCTTTACTCAACCCTTGAGTCCTTATCTCCACCTTGATCCTAATCCAATACATGGATTTCTAGGATTTTGGATCAACACATATCGCCTCCACCATAGTTCCGCCATGTTTTCTTCTCCTTCAACTCATCTCCTTTATCTTTGCATAGTAACTTTGACGCAACTTGTCTAACCAACATGCATTCACCCTCTTTTGCAATTATCTAGCACCAATGTTAAAAGTCATCTACCAATTGGCTCTGATACCAATTGTTGGTGCAGCGGAAGCCATCGTTGCGCAACATTGGTCACAAAGCAATCAAATAATGCATATCCCGGGGTTCGACCAATTGTGCTTACATCCCCGGGAGCGCTGAGCGGCTACCAAGATATTATTAGAGAATAAGGATTACAAACCCTATCACACCAATGGGCCCAACTACCCATGGGGTGTTTCTACTTGGTACTTGTATCTGGCGCACATTATAACAAGGGACCTGAGTCTAATATATAACATTGATTACTCTACTCTATTCCAATAGTAGGCGATGTGAGACTAATCTAATAACATATTTCAAGCATCTCCAACACCTTAAACACAAGATCAATGATTATGACACACACATACTTCTATGTCTAGCAAGTATGCATATGAGTGGAGATTAATGCAAACCCTCAAAGGTGTTAGCCACCAATGTCTTGGTCTATGCTAACACTTTACCGAAATATAAGTATGATAAGGCCAATACATTCATGGGGCACTAGAATTGCTCACAATTGAATATTGATTACCACATACGTGTTGAATGTGGGATCTAGCTGGTTGGACGCGACTCTTGGACGCACCAGGTTGCGATGAGCACGGCTTCCGGAGCTAAGCGTGTCACGCACTGCACTCAACGTGATGAGGCGCGCTAAGCATATCTGAGAGAGAGAGTTCGACTTCAATTCTTTTAATTTAGACGCTCAACATAAGATTGGCACTGAGCATGGCTTTGCTTCCGCTAAGCGTGGACTCATCGCTGAGCTTATCTATTAGATGTCTTTTTCGCTGAGTGTGATATTGGCGCTGAACTTGACTGAGTTTTACCCATAAACTTAGAATTTTTTGCTCTTTTGTTCGAATTAAGCATATAAAACCACTTAGGGGGTAATACTTAGCCTATCAAATGAGTTATTAATTATATATAAGTACATTTTCAATTATATAAGTTGAATAAGTTATACAAATATCATAAAATAATAAAATAAGTGTAAATTATTGATAAAATTAACACTTGGACACAAATCCTAACTCTTCTATACCCAAAAGTGAGTGCATGCATGCAACCTATCCAGCTTCAAAGAAGGAAGCAATGGAAATATGTGGTCTCGGATTTAGTTTCAGGAATTTTGATTTTATTAAGAAAATGAAGTATTACTATATGTAAAATATATATAACCAACATATTTAAGAGGTTGCTACGTTAGAAGAACTACCTAACCAATACAATAAGGTAACTAGAGGTGATCATATTAAGATTAGACGGATTAAGATTTGTCTTTATCTAATCCTAAATATTGGCCGGATCATTTTTTTAAACTCGGATCTAGACCTGAAGCTATCTCGACATTTAATATTCATCAGGTCAACCTTTAAACCTGAACCCGACCCTAGACCCGAGTAAATATAATGTATATTCATTTTAGATAAAATCTTGTCAATATTATTTATTATTATCAACATGTAATTTGATATATAAAATGATATTTGTATATATATTATTAATCATGTATGTATGATAAAAAAAATTAGAGAATCAATTATACTTTCGATAAAAAATGTGTCATTATCATGTATACATTTGAATAGAAACACATACAAATATGATGAGTCAGTGACAATAGGATGGGTCGGACCCAGTCATGTTTGGTCGCTATCCGACTCTAAATATTGATTGTGTCTAAATTTTGAACCCGAACTCGACCCTAGACCCGAAGAGACCTGACCTTATTCGGGTCCGATCATGATCGGGTCATATTGGATGAGCGGGTAGGATCGGATTCAGCTCACCCCTCAAGTAATTAACATAAGTAACAATCAATTACAATAACAATGTAAGCTTAGAATTGGATTAAAAATCATTCAAATTAAGAATTTGCTAATTTATTGTTTCTGATTTTAATTGGTTGTTTCCATTTTTAAATAAACTCCACTACTTATTTTATATTTATTTATACACCCCAACTACGTAAGGATATTTACCACAATGATAAACCTTTATCATTTGTATAAACATGCTTAAAAACAAGTTACAAAACAACAAGATCCTAATAACAACAAATAAGAATGCGTGTCATTGAATTAGTTGTAAACAACATGATGAAGTTTCTTAAGAACCCACCATGGTGGGTGCAATGAATTGGCCAAACTTGCTAAGAATAAATAGGTGCTGGGTCCCTATCTTATCTATTATAGTATTTTTTTTGGTGAAACCGAAGCTGATATTTCAGACTATGACACTTTCAATCTAACATCATTAGATTTAGCCATTCCAATTTTACATTTTGGTAGCAAATGATAACCAATTAACTCCTATTCAGTGTTAGAGCCTCTAGTATCGGGAATATGGGAGGAATTAAGTTAATGAGCACATTTGAAGAAACATAAAAAAGTATTAACTTGGAAATGATGAATTATCATCTTGAAAGTTGATAAATTAAATTGTTGAATTATATTTTGTTGGTATTATCAAGAGTAACTCTGGCCTTTTAGGTTAGAAACTAATCATTTTCGGGAGTGTAATTGTTATTCTTAACCAGTGTCGCATTCATGAATCAAACTATTGACATTTTGGTTGATCTAACGAAATCTTACATAACGCCTTGATGGTTGAATTATATTTATGTACTATAAATAATTGATAGCTTTTGTTTTCTCTTGCACATGTACAGATAAAAATTAAATAAAAAGATAAAAATAATATATTTGTTAGTTATAACATAAAATCATAAATAGTAGAAGTAAAGTTGCGTAAACCATACTTAAAGGCACGCCAAACCTAACAACAAGGAGGATTTAGTGGGGGAAATTGCAAGTCTTGGTCACCCACCATTGAGTAAATATTAGTTTTAGTGTGATATAATCTTTATGCATTTTATTAAGCAATATAAAACTTTTTTACTTATCATTTATTTTAATTCATTTCAGCCCAAGCAACATTTTTTTTTGCTTGATCCATCACTATTAACAATTGATTTCTATAAAATTTCACAATATTTGATAGTTTATAAGCAAAAGTACACATACTTTATACATAAAACTATGAAGTGTATGTGTCATTAAAATATTCAAAGAATAATAGAGACGTGAATGAGAAAACAATCTTGTTTCAAGTTGTGGGTAACCCATATGCATTCATGATAATTTATTTTAGGGAAGGGATCATGATCATTCATTCTTAGGAAATATAATGGTTTGAATTGGAGAGAAATCTAAATCATTGAATTTTATAAAATTAGATGGATAAGATGTGAAATAAGTTTTTTTACCTACTCTTAGAATAAGTAGATTCCTTCCCTTTATTTTATATCACAACAACTCAACATTATTGAATTTTGTGACGTTGAAATCTATTGCAGCTGCTACACAACTTTGATAATGATCCATTACCCAACCTTGTATATATAAGTAATACAAGTAAGATTATAATAGAAAAAATTCCAATAAATTTATTTCTTGACATATATATATATATAAGTTACCATACCAATCTGATGTTGATTTAATGGTGTAAGATTCTACTTGATCCTCATATAAAAAAATATATCAATGATTTGATTAACGAGAGTGACACTTGTTGGAATGAACAATCATATATATAAAAGATTAATTTCTTAGTCGATACATAAAAAATATATAATTTAGCATAATATTCATAAGAAAAGAGTAGAGAGATGGTAGTGCTTTCAAATTTGGAAACAAATTACAGATGAAACAGTGTTATTATTGAACAACATGGAATCACAAATTGAAGGAAGAACAGAACAAGTTAAACACTAATTCTTTCAAAATTGTTCTGCCCTTTTATACCATACCATATGTAAGATCTTAATATAAAGTCATGACTATAACCATAATACATCAATGAAAAATTATTCTATTGCCCTTGACAATATATGTAATATGCATAGTATCAATTTACCTTCTTCACAAGCTAATCACCAAAAGCCAAGGAATCTGAACAAGCCAACCAAAAGTGGCAAGAAAGTAGAGAAACCTCCATAGTGAAATGGGGTATTAGCTCCATTGAAATTCTGAACAATAGGATACAAGTTTGGGCCAGGAGGCCCAGTTATGAATATGTAGGATGATGGTGGTGGAGGGCAATATTTTGATGGTGGTTTCTTGGGTGAAGGTGGTGGTGGTGATGGGTATATTAGTGGTGGTGGTGGTGGTGGTGAAGGGTATATTAGTGGTGGTGGTGGTGAAAGGTATTCAATTGGTGGTGGTGATAGATTTGGTGTACCACATGGTGTGCACTTTTCATCACTAGGTGTTGTAGAAGGTATTGTGGTATCATCAAGTTTCCTTGTTTGAATGGCTTTGGTTGGAGTAGTGACACAAACAAGTACTAGGATCCAATTGAGGATCATTAGTACTTTAGTTTGATGGTTATTTTTTAGTGACATGGTGGTAGTGATGATTTTAGAGAATGGTTTATGTGGGTGTGAATTGTTATGTTTGTTTGAAAGGTTGATGTGTTTGTAGAGAAGAGGATTAGAAGAGAAAGATGGGGTATGAGAAGTGTGAACTATATGGGTAAAAGGGCCTTTATGGTTTAGTCATAATATGGTTTTATATAGATGGAAAATGAGTTGGGATTCTCTCCATTAACGGAGAGTGAAATAATAATTTTACACTTAGTTTTAAGTATAAAAATGTTATTATAAGTGTAAATAGAATAATATAATTTTTTTTATTTATTTTGTCTTGTTTTATACATCACTTTTTTCTCTATTAATGGAGATGATAAGTACTCGTGAGATAGAGTTGGTTATTTTGTATCATTAAATTTTTGACAAACTATTTACATGGTTAAATTTGATACTTGGACAGAGCATGTTACATGAGTTCATATCCTTTTTCATTTTATATAAAGGAATTCAGTACTTAAATAGTTTATTATGTTTTATAAAAATATGAAAATAATGGCATGCTAAATGTCTAATTGGTATTTAAAAATCATTATTAGGAGGAAAATAGAGTGACGGAGAAATACTCTAATGAGCTTTCTAGGAGGTGGAGAAATTTCATGTGGGTGGTGTATGCTGTATCCCCACCATGCATACACTTCCATGAAAACTCACCGATATAGATCGTCTGTCCCAAAATGATATTTTTAACCCTGTCCCAATCAATTAGAGATTAGAAATGAAAAATCACATGAATAAATATTTTTTAGTGAAGAGTAATGTATATTTTTAAATAATATGGCACAATGCTATTGACTGAGATAGAGTCGGGGACACCATTTTGGACAAGTGATCTCCATCCAAACTCAATATTTAACTTTTGATGGTTAAGTTTGACACAATCATGTTTAATCTTTGGAAAAAAATCCTTATATTCTATTTTCATAACTATTGAGGTCAAATTAAATCTCTTAAGCACATGCAATTTCCAATTTTCTGTAAATCAGCTTAAAATAAGTTGCAAAATTATTGATCAAATTAAACTAAGTAATGTAGTAGTAGAATATTTCATTAGCATAAGCTTCACCTGTATATGAGGTGGCTAAAGGAATCATAACTTTCTATAATAACAAAACCATTGATTTTCTTTCTGAAAACAAGGGATATTTGGAACTTTTTATGTATATTTTATTTTGTGAATCTTCTATTACTTTCACATGACGAAACCTTTTTAGATGAGTATTCAGCATGTTACCACATTATGATTGTGTCAAAAAAGCATATTAGCCTATCATTGACTATATAGTATTAAAATTCAAAAATAATCCATTCATTTTCAAAACTATTTGAAATTAAGATATACCTTATGTTATTATATACGTTGGCACCAATTAAATAACAGTGAACATTGGTATTGATACAAAATTATGAATAAGCATAAAAGATAAAAGAGACAATGACATGTTGAATTTTAGCTTACTCACAAACACATCAAACTTTGTCGACATGTATTTGATCTTAGTCCATTGGAATGATGCCTAAGATGTTGGTAATTATAATAAGTTTAATATTGATGCACTAATATAACATTTATGATTCACTTATTAATTATTATGTAAATAAATGGTGAATAATATAGAGTAAAGAATTCTAACAATATTTATAGGGTAGGGATCCACTTATTTTAAGAGTAAGTTTTTTAAACTTACTTCACATTCTAGTCATTAATTCTAGGGAAATCCAATGGTTTATAACTACCTACTAATTCAAACTATTAGATTTCCCTAAAATTGAAGGTTAAGATATGAAGTAAATTTAAAAAACTTACTCTTGGAGTCAATGGATCTCTCCTCATATTTATATATAGATACAAAAATCTTATAATATTTTAACAAATACCCCTTCATGAATCTTATTATAGGACACATCCCTTGCCGTGTCCTATATTCTAACCCCGTCAAAGACGGTATATTGGTCATCACCTAATATTGAAGCTTTTGAGTCCTAGAAGTAACACCCCACTTGCTTTTATTGCGTTTTCCAATTCTATCTTTAGGAGATTTACTTATATGATTATGATATATTTGTTTATTTTACTTCCTCTTTCGTCACAAATGTTTAAGTTTAAGAAAAGTTTGTTATCATTCAATTTTGATGAGTTGGATTAACATATTTAGAAAATAAAAGAAAGTGAAGAAATTGAACTTCATTATTTTTTTTATATGAAAACTACATGTAAGACATTTTTGGACCGCAACTCTACTACAAAAGTGAAATTTAAACTCAATATTTTTTTAATAATTTAATCAATTTATCCACTTTTAAGTTGACCCTTTTAGTGTAGTATAAAATATTAAATAATTAGTATAGGAAACTTGGCATGAGACCTTAGGAATCATCTTGGAAATGCACCCACCGTCCCATTTTTGTGAGGCATCTTTCCCAAACCCTTTTTATAACGTGGTACAAACTTAAAGTGTTCACAAAAGGAAGGTTCATTTGATTCATGAAGGATCTCATCCTATCTATTTTAAGACTTAAAAATATGATAGATTATAACCTCATAAATAAATATTTTACACTATAATAATGGTACTATGCTTAGCACTTGCCCATGTCGGTTTGTTTAGAAAACTAACAAGAGTTTGGAATTGGGTTATCTAAAATGATGGTTTTGAAGATAGTGAATTATTGATGGAAAAATTATGGGAATTATGAGTTGTTCCACATGTATAATAATGGTACTATGCTTAGCACTTGTGCCACGAATCTAGATGGGTTATCTACGGTCCTGGCTCAAAGATATGTGGCAGCCCTGAAAGAGAAATCAGCACAATTTGATCAAGGATCAAAATTTCATAGCCCTTATGATTCAATCCTCCATGGTATAAAGAGGACTTTTGAATTGTCCTAAGATGAATTCTATGCATTATGATGATGATTTGATGGGTGATTTATTTTTGTCAATGTTACAGTCTAAAAAACATTTCATGGTTGGGTTTGAGTAGCAGTTGTCTCCCTAAGGCCAGATAGGGCAAGTTCATTCCAACGACCTCAGATCTTGACCGAGCAATCAGATAATTGTTAACCGATAAATAGGTGTATAAACACTATCCTACTGTAGCAAATAAGTATAGAAAATTAATTTTATCATCTTAAAAAAAAAGTGCTTACACTATAGCATTTTGAAAGTTTACTGTTTTAAGCTCAAATTTGTTTTGGATTGTTTGTTTGATACAAGCTCTTCGAATGTAATCTATATACTATATATGAAAAGAAGGTTCTCTCATGTCATCCCATGACAAGTGTCACAACCTCAACAATAATTTTCCCTCCCAAAACACCCTATTTTCTTATTGTACAACCTATCACATAAGATAAAATTACATCTTACTCATTCATTACCTATTATATTATTTAATAACATATAATAATAATAATACTAAAAATGACACCCACAATAAAGACATCTCACTTTGTACAACCTCCCATGTAGGATAAAATATATATTTACCCATTGTTCATTACTCAATATATTACTTAATAATATATAATAATAATAGAATTGAATAGTTTTATTGATGAAAATATAATCATTTTATAAAATTATTATTGAATTGGTAATACAGGTAACATGAGTGTTCTTAACGATGCGCAACTATATGGGCAACATGTGTGTTTTAACTATGGAAATGTATAGGTAACATGTGTTTTCTTAGCAATACGAATGTACGAGTAACACATATGTTTTAACCATTAAAATGTACGGGTCACATGTTTGTTCTTAACAATACGAATACACATGTAACATGTGTATTTTTAATCATTTTAATATATGGTTTAAAATACACATGTTTGTACGAGTAATGCGAATATACGAGTAACAGTATAGGTAACATGTACTCTTCTTAGCAATGTGAATGTACGAGTAACATTTGTGTTTTAACCATTGAAATGTACGAGTCAAATGTTTGTTCTTAACAATACGAATGCACATGTAATATATGTATTTTTAAACATGCGAATGTATGAATAACATGTATGTTCTTAACCATGTGAAAACACATATAATATGTGTTATTAATCATGCGGCAAAAAATACTTCCCCGTGCATATGCACGGGTAACTTGCTAGTTAATAAATATAAAGGTAGTCGTGGTTGAACTTTGCACTCACTCTCTACTCACACTTTAATTCTTTGTTTCATACCATTTAGACGTTGAACGCAACTCTCAGATGTTGTCAATTTCACTAGGCGTGATCTTTGTGCTAAACATGATCATGAGTTTGCCTAGAAACTTAGAATTTTCTTCTCTTTATACGGATTAAGCCTACAAAACCACTTGGAGGTAACATTTAGCCAATAAAACAATTTCTAGTAATGTATAAGTATATTTCCAATTATTTAAGTTGATTAAGTTGTAAAGTGCCATAAAATTAGGTGCAAAATATATATAATTTGACACTTGACAATAATTCAGAAAGCTATGTCGTTGATCAGACAAGATCCAAACAACAGTACATGGACCATATCTACCATCTAATTGTCATGCCACCTATACTGGACCACCACACTGTTTGAAGAACACAAACCTCTGTCACAAGTCGCATGTCACCTACACACTACACTCACTTTCTTCCAAGTGACAATGGCATACCTAGAATACGACTACTCAACCTATCACAGAATGTAAGTCAACTATCCACAAAGTACAGACCTGCCAGAGCTGTCCAACACAAGGAAAACAATCCCTGCTTGTCTAAAACAGGCCAACCAAATCAGATTGTCGACAAGGCCAATAACAACTACTATAGAATATTCCATACACCTTTCTACTATAATGTCTACTCTCATACCCAAGAAAAAGATTAGTGGAAAGGGTTTGGGATAGATACCTCACAAACATGGGATGGTGGGTGCATTTCCAACATTCAATATGAAAATAAAACCTAAAAGTATTATGCAATGGAAATACAAACACACTTAACGCATGGGAGCAGATCATATGTCTAAGTACTGGTGTAAAACAAAAAAAAAAGGAATATGATGAAACCCAATGGAACTCATATAATAAAAGTACATAAGTTGTCAAATTATATAATTTAAATATGAAATTATTTTTAATTTAAATACATATATTACATTAAGTCATTAAGTATACCTGTATGTAGTATAATATAAGGCGCCATCTAACATGCGTACTGTGATACAGTACGCATCAATGCGTACTGATTTTGAGCCGTCCATTTCATCTAGCCGTTGAGATTATGACCGGTTGTGTGAAGGAGAGAAGTCGGTTTGGGCCTGGGAATCTTTAGCCCATACAGAAGTCGGCATTTGATGATTGAACATTAGCCCACACAGAAGTCGGTTTGATAGAAACCGACTTCCTAACATACTTTTTTTTTTGGCAAATTCTCAACTAATTTATTTTTTTCAATTAACTATTCCCGTAATTTATTTAATTTATTTTGGGTAGCAAATTAAATTAGTGTATAAAGGATAAGTTAGTGTTTGAACGGTTAAATGAAGAAGCAAGTATTGGAGAATTAAATTATAACATGATAAATATTTTTGTGGAATAAATTAAAATTTTCATTTAATTTAAAATATTCTAACTTTAAATATAATAATTTGAAATGTCCCACTTTATTACAAATTCCCTAAATGACCTCCTGTTCCACACCTAGGAGGTTGCCTAGAACGTCTCGACCTCCCTCTATTTTCAACCGTTGGTTGGTCTTGAGTTGTATCTGTCAGCCCCGTTGGGAAAATATTATCATTAACTACAAAAGAACTTGGTCCAGCACCATCTTGATTGAAGTTGAATTCAATATCATTAAGATGCACATTTGCCGAATCAGGTGTACCGAATAAATTGTTGATGAAGTCGC